ATATTATTTTAATTTTTGGCACATCTCAGCTGCTTTTTGGCAATAATAATGTAGACATAACATTTTTTTTGTATATTATATTCTAATATTATCTAGGCTCATAATTTCAGCTATATTCAAATTTCAAGTGAATTGACATTTCTGGTAGAGAAGAGTTCAAATGTTTTCAATGTCAAACAATGATAAGTGGTTTTTTGAAATTTTTGGCATTTATTTCTATAATATTACTATAGTTTTATGGTTCAATAAATCTTAAAAATTTCATTTGACAAACTGTAAATAGAATTATCAGAATCCGGATAACCGTTTAGGAGAAGTATCAAATCATACACCAGTACAGAGGAATTTCTTATATAAGATATATATATATATATATATATATATATATATATTGTATAATTTTAACTTGAAAAACAAACAAATTTCCCCCATTAGTCACTTCCTACGATGCTCTATCCCTAAGTAGCAACTGATTCTAACTGGGTCCATTCGAGTATCTGTTTCCGTTTCGCAATGGATATGCACTTGTTATGTTCGATTCTTTTTTTTCACGTCCAGTTCCATTGCAAAATAACTATTTTCCTGGTAAATATCCGGAGAGTCTAGTCTAGTCGAGATATAGAGTTTCCCTCGCTCGAATCGCGATGCTCGGACAGCCGCGAAACGAGAAAGTTTTATGTCAACCGAGAGGGAAAAAATATATAATGGAAGGAAAACAAATAATCAAGTGACACGTTCACATTATAACATGTGTGAATATATACATAGAAATATAAATATATATTACTAGATGCACCCGATCACGCGTTGCTGTGTTATGCATATTAATAAAAATCTACACTAGTGGTGTATGGCATCGTGCCTTAAGGCAAATTGCTGGAACGTCCCATGCCGTAACGAAATGTGCGAAGAATTTTAAACGTTTTCAAATATATTATTACAAATACTGTAACTTTCATTATTTTTGCTATCTCGTTATATCTGAGCAAATCAAATGTAAATCCTAAATCAATTTATCTCCAGAACAATTACAATCGTCATTTCATTTCGAATTCGATTTAATAAAAATAGTTGCCTAATTTACACAAAATTGAAAAAGTGCTCCCGTTCAGTCACAGTCTCATCGCATTTGCAAATAATTCTGTGCGACATTTTCACTCATACTGTGCTTAGCTTGGCGGCATTTTCACATTTTTCAATAGTTTTCATAAAATTGGAAAAGTGTTCCAGTACAAAAACAGTCTAAACGCACTTGGGTAAACATTTGTACCAGAGTGGCGCTTAGACTGTGCTTAGCCTGGGTAATTTTTTGAATTTTTTGATTTCAAAATTACAAAAATATTTTATGAAAAATAGAAAAAGATGTAATAATTTTTTATTCTCAAGAGCAATTGTTTTGTCAATATAAGCAGAAAGTTTTTTGATAATTCAAATCGGACGCTTAGTTCTCTCAAAAACTGTAATTTTTGCACATTTAGCTCTGTATATTCGAAATGGCGGGACCTGTCTTTGCCAAAAACCAATCACCTTTTTTCCTAATTATTACAAATTGTATGTTTTTTAGATCATTCAAAACGGATACTCCGTTCTCTCAAAAACTAGATTTGTATTTTATGCACTCTTTGCTTCGTATCTCCGTAACCGGACCTGCCTTTCCCAAAAACTAATCAACATATTTTCAATAGGAATCTAATGTTATTTGAACCATTCAAATCGATTGATCCGTGCGCCCAAAAACGTGGGAAAAAGATTGCGGACACACACATTTATTTTTTCTGAGGTATGCCAAAATGTTCAGAAACCTCTGAAATGTAAAGATATGTAAAAATTTTTATTTTTGATTTTCAGCTCATTAATATAACTTACCCTACGGGAAGTTAACAAAAAAAAAAGAGTGCGCGTAAGGATCACACGCGATTGAAGTAAAACTTTTAATATTGTATGAGTAGGCAATTAAGATAAAAATAAAAAAAACATCATATTTGAATTTTAAAAATCATTTATTAATAATCACATAACATCAATAACACAGTTCAAAACAACATCGATAGATTAATTGCTATCATATTTCATATATGATATAATAGGTTTGTGATAACTAAAATGAGACACATAAATTTTGCTTTGTAAACTATGTACATTTCTGGAGAAAACTGCATCAATAGTCGTGCCATATCTTGTGGTTGATTCAAATGGAGAATTATTCATTGTTAAATTAAATTTATTATTTAAAAAATCAATTAATGGTTGAGATTCTTCTGAACAAAAATTGACATTGAAATCTCCAGCAAGAATTAATGGTATCTCGTTGTGATTAGTGTTTAAAAGTTTTGCACCCTCATAAGAAAAATGAAGAAACTGCTGATGAAGAAATTTAATAATATTTGATATGTTTTTATTGGGAGAAATGTAAAGGACGACTATAATTAATGTTTGATTCTGTGTGTGTAATATCACCTACTTGTGTAATTTCATTAGGAATATCCAGTAATATCGTTGGCGCAAGAAACTGCATAGGAGTCGCATTATGAAGAGTATCTGATCATGAATGATAGACAGCTACACCACCTGCTCTTGAGTCCGATCGTTTGTATTGAGTAACGCAGTAATAGTTCTGAATATCAATTCGTTCTTCATTATTAATCCAAGTTTCCGAAAATAACAAAAACGTACAACGTTGTAGCACTTTATCTTGCAGATCAGGCACATGAGCTCGTAAACTTTGGCAGTTAAAGGAAAACAATGAAATGTCGTTCAAACTTATTATCTCACTCAATTTTTCTTCTTGTGTTATTAATGTACAAGTTGAAAGTCTTTGGAATTCAGTTTTTAAGTTCATTAATCCTGCTGGCCGTTTTCTTCCATGATAAAATTTTTTGAAATGATGAACAATCCATTAATGCTGGTAACTCGTGATAATGCAACATATAGAAGCTGCCGATCATGTGTTTTATTGTATTCATATACAATTTTATCAAAAGTACCACCTTGTGATTTGTGTATTGTGAGTACACATGCAGACACTAAAGGAAAATGATTTCTTTTGACAAATATGATTTTATTTCTGTTCATTGGAATAGATGAAGATCTCCTGAGAATCGGCACAGCTGTCCTACTGATATTAAGAGTTTGAATATGATGTGCAGCTTTCTTCTTATTTTGTTACCTATCTTACCAGGAAATTCAAACCATAAACGTAGAAGTTCATCATTATCGCCACGTTCTATGTACACTAATTTTCCTACACAACCATTAGCTAAGCCATCACTTACATCAATATTAGTTGTTATTATGTAAAATTTATTCAGAACTAAAATTATTTCATACGGCAAACACCCGGTATCAATAACCGATTTTTGTGAAACTGCTGACGAATGTATGATTGTTGATCTGTCGCATGGCAACCTACATAAATATCCGTGGCAGTAGATATTATTTTGTCTTCAACGAGATTCAGTATAAATTTATTATATTCCATGACACATTTATTCTCTAAGAAAAGTCTTATTCCATGAGGACATAACATAAAAAACGTGATTCAATTAATGCAAGTTCATATAAGGTTTAGCGCTCGACTTACGCGTGACATGACGGGAGTGGATACTCGCGACATCAGCGCTTACGGCGTCGTAGTGTTCAACTTCACGTTGGCGTTTCGTTGCATTTGTACGGATTTACACCCGTGTAGCCTAAAGAAATTTTTACACCCATATCGCGCCTAAAGAAGTTTTACTTCAAAAATGATTCTGTTACATCTAGTTATCAAGATGGCGCTCGTATCTTTCGTGAATCTGTTAGATGCATCATCGAGTAAAATATCGCTTTCAGCATCTCAACATATAAGTTTAGAAGCATGTCAGTATTTTTTGACCTTCAGTAAATCCTATATATAAAAATGAATAGCAAAATGTGTTGGTAAGCGCATAACTCAAAAACGCCTGAACCAATTTGGCCAATTCTTTTTTTAAAATGTTTGCTGATGTCCATGGATGGTTCTTACGGCGAGAAAAAATCGAATAATTGCTGGGAAAATCCTAAAAAACAGCACTTTTCTTTTTCACATATACAAACGTTAGTATTTTCATAATTCTGCCATCGGATACGGAATATTTACTCAAGTCAATGGAGCGTTTCGGGTCTGAATTTTTTTACTGTGCTCCAATTCGTATGATATTTTGCTATTAGGTTTATCTTACTCTCAAGTTCAAAAGTGAAAATAATTTAGACTCCTTTGCCATTTCCCGGGGGAATAACATCCTTCTCAGTGGTGTAATTTCATTTTTTTTAAAAATAACGTCGGATATCGATAAAAGTAAGTTTATATATAAAATAATTATAAGAAAAAAATGTTTTATAATGTTTTTTAAAAAAGCAAATACTCATCATTTTATTTAAAGCAGTTGTACATTTAAGATCCATACGGATGGATGTATATACATTTCGGTATAGACTATAGTTTAAAAAAACATAATAATTGTAAACATAAGTACAGGACAACGTCTGTCGGGTCATCTAGTTTCTTACAAACATACACGTAGTTGTTTGTAGTCGCCCAATTTAAAAATCGCTTTTGAGTTTACAGTATGTAATAAATAATCTCTTTGAAATTATTCAAAACAGTTATTGATTATTTTCATTTCTCGAATGTTTAATTACGGTATAGGAAATCCCAGCAATTTAAATCATTTGATGAAAATCGATAAGGACTGAAAATGATTCTTTCAGAATGATGATCGACTCAGAAACCTTTCTTAAGAATTAGCACATAAGTGCAAATAGTTTTCACAGAAAACTCTTGAATCTATTTTGAAAATTCAACAACAACAACAATCGAAAGATAACGTAGAAAGTTATAGGATAGTGGTTTAACTATAACATTTATTCACGTTTAAAACAGTGAGTCACAATTAAATTGATAACGTTATCAATTGATAAGGTGCTCATGTGCATTGTACTATTGCAAAATCAATAGCGCCATTATTTTCAAGTATTGAGTTGGACAGTGAACTACTAGTTTACTTAATAACTTATTTAATTTAGCTTATTTATGCTTATTTATCAAATTTTCATGTGAAAGTGTGTGTTTATAAAGAAATAACTATAGTGTAAGTAAAATAAACCATATATGAAATCAAATCATTCGCATTTTTTTTATTTATAGAGCGATAAATCTTGAATCATGTGTGAATTATTTGTTTCTTTTTGATAATGTTAGAGAACATTAATTGAGAACATTTTAGGTTACATCATTATGCATAGTCGAGTTCAAACAATGATACTTTTGGAAGATTTTAAGATTAGAAAATTTTAAAATGGACATGATATATATATATATATATATATATATATATATATATATATATATATATATATATAAAATTGTTTCTTGGGCATCCATCCAGTAATTAAAAAACAGTTTTAATGAAAAATGTTTTTATTTATAGAGAACATACGTTTTGGGTCTGGATTTGACCCATCTTCAGTGCATACAAATAAATTTTGAAAAACAACACAAAAACACAAAATTGCACGAAAAATAAATAAAAGTGAAATAAAAAATTGATGGAACGTCGAGTTATGAAAAATTTAAAAAAAATTGTAAAATTAAAATGAATGATATATTTTATTATAAAAAAGCTTATTCCTTATCATTCATTTTAATTTTACAATTTTTTTTTAAATTTTTCATAACTCGACGTTTCATCAATTTTTTATTTCACTTTTATTTATTTTTCGTGCAATTTTGTGTTTTTGTGTTGTTTTTCAAAATTTATTTGTATGCACTGAAGATGGGTCAAATCCAGACCCGAAACGTATGTTCTCTATAAATAAAAACATTTTTCATTAAAACTGTTTTTTAATTACTGGATGGATGCCCAAGAAACAATTTTATTATATTATTTCACCATCTGAAGAAAAACCTCTCGCTTTATATATATATATATATATTATGATTTTTTTTTTAAATTTTGTAAACGTTTAAAAATTTGATATTGAATGAAAACGTATTTTTTGAAAACTTGATTTTTTGTGAACTAAAAATCCGTGCGCTCAAAAACGTGACTGGAAATTTGTATCCATACATACATACACACACAAACACAGCCATCATTTCTGAGGTATGCCAAAATGTTCAGAAACCTTCAAAACATCAAAAAATGTAAAAAATTTCAATTTTGATTTTCGGCCCATTACTATGACTACCCTACAGGAAGTTAATTAAATAGATTTTGATCATCTTTTCAGACTTGTGCTCTCGAGAATCATGAATTCAGCAAAAATAGTTTACTTCAATGTGGACACGCCTGATTTGCATGACTATGAAATTTTGAAAATTGCTGCAAAATTTGACGAAAAAGACGAGGAGTTCAAAAAATATATCACACCGACCAAAAATATTAATCCTGTTGCTTCCGATGTAAATGGATTGACAATACGTGAAGGGATCTTGCATCTCGATAATGAACCAGTACCGACGTGCGGTTTAAAAGAGGCCTTAAGTTATTTCAAGCAATTTTTGGAAGAAAATTCAAACGGATGTTGTGTTTTAGTTGCACATTGTGTTTCATTTCACAGCGATCGCTTGGTTAAAGCCATTTTAGATTGTGATATGATACAAAATTTTGGAATCATTGGTGGATTTTGCGATAGCTTGGAGCTGTTTAAAAAACGTTACCCTGAAAGGAAAAGTGAATTCACACTATACACTCTGGAAGAAGATTTTCTTGATACAAAAGATCATCCAAAATCAAAAAATGAAGTACTGAAGCAACTTTCAAACAAACTCAGAATTATCGATGATATTTTGGAAATGCAAAAAATGGCTGATGAGCTAATATTATTGGCACCTCTTAAATCAGTCGTAACCATTGAAACACTTCGCAAAATGTCAAAAAAAGGATTGACTTATGAGATACTTAAAAAAGCTTACGAAGGAAAGGGAGAAGAGGGCCTTGAACAAATTTTGAAAACTAAAGTAACAAAGGCAAAGCTTACTATAAACAATGTTGCGGTGTTTTTTCAAAAACATGCAAATGATGTTTAATGACCCTTATTTATCAGACATATATTATAAATATTTAACATTTTAGTACTGAATAAAGGATAAGACTGTAGCCAAACCGGACTTAAAAATATTTCATCTTTTAATTTATATAGGGGGAAGTCCCCGAGTGCCGGACACTTAAGGTTATTTATAAATAAATCAAAAAATATTTTACGAAATGTTTATTAAATCATAACTTATGTTAGATAACAAAGTTAAAACAAAAATACAACCTTTGCTAAAAAATAATACTATCAATCAAACATTGGTAACACAAAATATAATTTTAGAAAGTGGCACCTAGTACCGGACATTTCAAAATAACCTGCGTTGAACACATAAGTAGCCACACACTCTGGAATGTCTGCACATGTGTGTTTGACGAATATTCTGTGATATTGCAAAAAAAATCACTATTTATCCACCCTTTTGGCTGAGCCACACCGATGCTCTCAGCTGGAGCATTCATCATAAGATTTTTATTATTTGAATAGGAAATACAAAAAATGGGGTATGTAGTGACCGTTAGCACTCATGCAGAACAAAATTAAATAATTAGAATAAATTACGTGAATTCTCACAAGGCGCTAAGGGACAGACATTTTTGTTCATTTGGTGGTATCAACCAAAATTGTTTAAAATATCTAATAATATTTAACAATTTTTACGGATAACAATCAAGTACTACTTTTATCTTTGCATACCACTCAAATGTAAATGCATAAATATACTATAATTATTTAATTGATAATTAGGTGACGCCGTGATTTTGCGCCTAAAATAGCAAAGGGTTGTTCCCGCCGTGGCCGTGTGCGTCACAGGCGAGAATTGGCGCGTGATCCTGTACCTGTGTGCCCCCAGCGCCTCTTTCACTTGTATTTTGCAATGAAAAGATTTATACTCGCTTAAATAATACGTCTTAAATAGAGTGTCCGGTACTAAGTGCCGTCCGGCGTTACGGGACTTTCCCCTATTTTTATGTATGTCTAAAAACTGGTATCAAAAATCGATATTTGTTATATACACTCAATTTCTTTCATGATTTGTTATATATATATATATATATATATATATATATATATATATAGTTTATATATAGTCTATAGTTTTATAACATTGCGCATTGTGGAAAAATATCTATAACTAGCTGATCCGGCAAACATTGTTTTGCTAAGTCGGATATATTCTAAAAAATTTCAAGGAAAAAAAAATTCTTTAAGTATATAAGGATGTGTTGTTTGAATGCTATATATAATGAGGTATTACAAAAACATTAAATACCATTAGTTTGTCTATATTTTGTCAACACAATCAAACTGGAAGTTTTATACACTTTCTATAGAAAACATGGTATAATCCAATACAAGTCTTTTTTGGTCTTTCGACATATTGATTACGTTTCAAGATTGTCAGATTCTTTTTTGATTCAGGAATTTGCGTATAATTGTAAATAATACTACTGAACTTAAAAAAAATTAAAATTTCTGCGAGAAGAGATAGAAAGTGAATTATATAATAAGTATATAATAAGTATGTAATAATAATATTATATATAAATATATATAATAAGTATTTCTTCTTTGACCTGCTTTTTGAAAAGTGTCAAGTAACATTCGATGAATTTAAGTAAATTTAATGAAAAGTATATATGTAGAGTAGGGCGGAGGCACAAAGGTTCAATTTGACCTTGAGCAAATATAAACTACATTATGAAAACCATAACAATTATATCACAACCAATAACAAATATCAAACGAATTATCTGACTACGTTTAGTAAAACTGTCAGCTAATTCATCAATGTAGAAATGTGCTTTTTTATGTCTTTCAAAAATTTGTAATCTAGACTTTTTTACCCTATAGGCGGGGTAACTTGAAACGGGCAGGTGGCAAAAAGATTAAAGCCTTATTATAATTTTAAAGATATTTTACAAAATAGTTACATTTTTAACTAATGCTAAAAACTACCAACTTTTATTATGGATTTTTAAAGATTACCGTTTATCTCCCCCATTTTAAAGATTACCGTTTTCAAATCAAGGTTGTAGCTGGTTATACATCTTTTTTCCTCTACTTTCAGATATTGTTGTTGAACAATGCTTAACTTTACTGATTTTTGACACATTGGTGGTGGACCTCTTTAACCCCGGACCTTCATATATTACTATCTAATTTTCGATGAATTCTGGGAAATTATAACTGGGAAAATGTTATTCGACAAAATGTCCATTTGATCGATACCAAATTTAGGTTCTGAATTTAAATAACATAAATAAAAAATAATATAACCTAGAAAATGTTTTATAAATACCAATAAGTATATAATTATACAAATGAGATTTTTCAGAGCACCGTGATTGAGAAAAATATGCCAAAAAGTGCATTTCATATTAACAATTCAAAAAAGTTGATATTTTGAGTATCTAGTAACACTTGCGGCCCGTTTAATAACGTTTTTGTGTATAAATATAACTACGGACAAAACCACTTACTAAAATTTAATCATAATTAAATAATATTTACGTAAAATATCCTATTAAACGTAATTGAACATCATCTGTCAAAAACGTTCTACATTTGACGTATTAGCTACCGTCGATTGTTTTATTTAAATTACGGTTCTATAAAAATTTTCAAATTAAAAATGTAAAGTTTCTATGCGATTTTGGAATAATATCTCACCTTTCCGACAACCTACTGATTAGCATTATAATTTTTCAAGACTAAGACTGGCCAAATTGGTTTAGCCATTTTCGAGTTTTACCGAATCATTTTATCGAGAGCTCCATTTTTATATGTAAGATATATATATATATATATATATATATATATATATAATACACCCTCACATACACATTATTGATACCAAACGATTCAGAATGACGTGAAACGTCGAAAAGCAATTTAAGTATTATGATGGAAACAGACTTTTTCTTTGTATGAAATCTATAACATATCAAATAAAAATTTAACACTTATAAGAATCTTCATCAAACGGTTTGAGAAATCAGTTTAAGCAGTTATCAATGAATTGATAATTTTTATTTTATTCATACTATGAATTATCTATCTTAACAAAGTTTTATAAGTATATAAGTATCATAATAAACTGAATTGCATATTTAATATATCTAGAAACAACTACAATATTTAATTGTAAAATTGAGTGCTACTTGTGTACTACAATATTGAGTGCTACTAATGTATAACTATAGATATTTTTAGTAATTGTATGATAAATAATTATTACAAATTATATCAAAGAACTAGTGATACTGATGCATAAATACATAAAGTTACAATTGCATTTAATACATTTATTAAAAATATAATTACAACTTCCTCTCAAGAGAATCTGATAGGAACAGGTTTTTTCTCACCGTCCTTAATATCTCTCATTTTTAACAGAGCTTTTAGAAGTGGAAATGAAATTACGGCGGAGCTTTTTTATTACAAGAAACGTAGTCGAGAACTTCCATATCTTGAGAACTACTACATAATAATAAGTGCATTTTCTTTGCCGTACAAAGAAGCGATAAAAGTGCCACCAGGTTTCATCTGCTCGGATATTTTATTAATGAAAAATTTCTTACGATAAATAAGTTTGAAGTTATTGATGTAAATGAGCGAGAAGTAGAAAAGATAATTGCTATTCGGAGGGATCGAAGAATAATTGTATAGAAATCATATTAACGCGATTTGTACATATATCAAAGATATAAATCGTTATAGTAAACGCAAAAAATCGAAAATGAAAATTTTTGCATATCTTTACGTTTCAAAGGTTTCTGAAAATTTTTACATACCTTAGAAAAACTTGATTTGATAAATGTTTGGATAAATTTTTAACTTTCCGAAGCCGTTTCTTTGTAAATCGCAGAAAAGTGAAAAATATTTTGCCAACGTTTTAGTCCGCAATTCTGAATCGATTTTGAAAATACGTTCGAAAGATATTGGTTGGAAATCGTGCTGATTAGTTTTTGGTAAAGATCGGCTGTTCCGTTTTCTTGTAATAAATTGTTAAAAAAATTTATTTCGACGATATTTATGATTTTTTTATGGTAGATACCATAGTCTTATAGATCATACTGAAATATTACGGCCCTACGACAAATTGTTTAATTTAAAAAAATCGTCAAAATTTGCAAAAATTTGTATCGTTTTTTTGGCGTTTGTCAAAATTGGAACTTTCATCGACGTTTGCTCAAAAACGACTGAATCGATTTCAAAAATTTAAAATCTATTCGATGTATCTCGAATAGGACTATTGTTTGTCAGTTCTGTGCAGTGATCGTCTAAACCGTTTCTTTGTAATTTGCAAAAAAGTGTTAAACTATGCGTCCACAATTAAGCTCATACTATCGAATCGAATTTAAAAAATCAAAAACTGTTCGAAAGATATTAGTTGGGAATGATACTCATTTTTATGTGAAAATCTACCGAGCCGTTTTCTTGTAATTAGCTGTTGAAAAAAAATTTTAGCCGATTTTTTGGAACTTTTTTTTGCGATATATATCATGGTTTTACTGAAATATTACGGCCTCAAGACAAGTAGTTTAATTTTAAAAATTTGTCAAAGTTTATGAAAATGAATAGTTTTTTTGATGTTTGTTAAAATTAAAACTAGTTGTGTATAGCATCGTACCTTGAGGCAAATTGCTGGAACTTCCCATACTGTACAAAATGTAACAGATAATGTAACATCGTCTAATATTTATAAGAATTATATAAACTGAATTACAAAGTTAAAAATATTTATTTAAAATATATAAGTAAGTTTTAGAAATCTAGCCAGAATTAAAATTAAAATCTGAATTATTTTCGATATACAAAAAAAAGTAGAAAAAAATTAGAAATATTTTTTCATCAAAAGCAATTATTTTGTCAAAACAAGCAAAAAGTTCTTTGAATCAGACGCTTAGTTCTCTGAAAAACTGCCATTTTTTAAACATTTAGTTCTGTATCTTCAAAATCGCTGGGCCTACCTTTGCTAAAAACTAA